CAAGGGAGGGCGTGGTGACCTCTGTTCAATGGCTCCTCGTCGCACTCTGGGACTTCACCCGGGAGTCTACTGTTCCTTGGTGCAAAGTCGAGCGAGGCGGCAGCTTGTCATATCTGATGAGGAACCACAAACGAGTAGGTACTCTGACCGCCGACGACGGGACCCAGCCCTAACAGACTCTCATCATAAAACGGTCTCCGCCCAATTTGCTACAGAGGGGCTGCGGATGACAAACCGAAACGCCTGTGGCGTCACCAAGACCTTAAGTTACGGGACACGTGCCACGTACCTTGCCCGACCAGTGACGTCTTCAATGATGGGGTTCCAAGGACCCATGACCCCGAGAATGAGGACACAAACGCCGGTTTCGACACCCACCGAATGCCAATGGCTGCTATTCTTTCGTATTGAGGCGTGTATATTCCAGTGCCTGGCTCCACGTGGAACGGTGGAGGTAGTGGAACACCTCAAAGAAGTACGTTCTACTCTCCCTTCCATGACGTCGACACCTGGGTGGGCTGCTGCTGGAACGATACCCGCGTGGTCTGGTGCGTCTGCGCGGCAGCCACCTGCCAGCCCCAGAAGCGGAACGTACGGATTGCCGTTCCAGAGAGCGTCTCCTATGAATGTCGCGACGTTCAAAGAGCGCGCAGGGGCTCTAGAACAAGAAGGGAACGTGGGCGCTCAGGGAGGAAGGTACGCACCTAACGCAGTACCTCCGCAAGGGCAAGTGACGAGTCCGCACTACGACCAAGGAGTCCCCAATGGCTCGCACGGGTCAGAAAGAGGTGCACCGCAGGACGTTCCGATTGTTGGTATCCCGACGGAATTGCGGAACGCTGTGAAAGCTATCGTTTCGTTCTACTCAGAGACGGCCACGTACAAAAGGGCGGCCGCGTTCTGGCGTTCCTTCGACAGGTGCATGCTCGGTTTGGACGCCCAAATGCGGTTGACAGCCTTCGAGCAGTGTCTAAAGGGCACGTTGGGTCAAGAATGGTGTTACAATGCGAGGATTAACGATTTTGAAACTCTGGGAGTGAGATTCCATAACCGCTTCATCTTTCAGACGCCAGCCCAGCTGTGGGGCCGACTCAAGGCCGCTAAGAGGAACTAAGGTGACTTCGCTGAAGCGTGGGGCAACACGATCGTCACGATGTGCGAGTACCTAAACTATCACGAGCCTCGTATGCAGTACGAGTTCTTCCTCGATGGGTTAAGGCACAAGCACTTGTAGGCCGTTTTGAACGCGAACTTAGCTGCGTCGATCCAGGAAGCGTGCGCTTTATTGCTGTACAAGAATCTGCACCTCCCTGTGGAAGAAGCGGACGAGTTTGCGAATAGTAGAACGACGCTGAGGAACGTGAGCGCCGTGACGTCCACACAGTCGCAGATGCTCCATCAGCTTCAACAAATGAACCAGTTGATGCTGAAGCGGCAGCAGGATCCTGGCACGTCACAAGGGTTCGTCGGCGCCGTGGCGCCCACGAACGTTCCAAGTTCTAGCGTTCAAGGTCCGAATGGGAACGTGACTAGCTCACCGCTCGGAGCTCTTTGCATTCGATTAAGGCCTGCCACGCGTACCACGGAAGGGGAAGTGGTTTGCGGACGCTGTGGACGTGTTGGATGTGGTCGTGAGACGTGTCCGCGGGGCCATGGCCGCTAAGATCGGTGCAACGAGCTTGGGTACTACGCGATGGAGTGCAACTGGCCGAAACCCCAAGGGAATTACCGGAGCCGGGAACGTCGCCAAGTGGAATATGGCTGCTATGTGGTCAGGTGGTTCACTTGGTGGCGAGATACCCGAGCCTTGATACTTTGCGAGGAATGATGCGGAGCGTGGATAACCAGGAACGTGACTGTACCCGCTGGTACGTTCCAACAATGAAGAGGGCAGGAGGAAGGGGAAGGAAGTGTCGCTCCTTCCTATTGCCTGATTGGCGACACGAAGAGAGATGGGGGTTCACCGCGACCGGGCTTGGCGGGTGGACATCAGAGGGCTCTCGGGAGAGGTGTGATGACCGATGAAGGCGCTCGTGACGTTCCAGTCATGGTCGTAAGGACGAAAATTGGAAACTAAAAGTGGGGCGAACGTAGAGAGCCGTCCGACGGAACGGACTGGACTAGAACGAAACGAGAAGATTGAGGGCTCTACGGAGAAGCCCGCACGAGACGGAGTGGCTGCTGAGGAAACAACGGAACGTTCATCGGCGAAGCTGAACTGGAAAAATTAATTTACGGAACGTTTCAAGTTGGTGCAAAACGTCTGTAAGGGAGCAACGGAGCGCCCCGAGACTACGTTGGACGCTGAAGAGAAGTGACAAGAGAGTAAGGAGGTAGAGACGCTGTCCACTCGCTCGAAGCCGTACGAAGGAGCACTCGAAACGATCACGGAGGACGCATCTGGCGCCAGGTCAAGTCAGCTCTCGGCAGTCACTGGACAAGTGAGCGCAGGTCAAGAAAGGACAGAAGCTCAGAAGGCCGAGGAAGACAAAGAACGTACTAAGGGGAAGGATTCGACGCAGCATTACGAGCGCCTGCTTACCGACGAGGAGCTGGACATGCTCGAGCACGGTGGCGACCAGGTAGTGAAGAATGAACCCGAGGGGTACAAAAGGAACTGGAAGAGCGATTGTTCCCGATGAGCGAAGAAGAGGTTCTGCTACGTCCAAGCGGAACGTGAA